AGAGAAATCAGTAAGAATAAGATATAGTGGCGTAAAACGGCTGCATAAATACATTACAGCTAAGACTCTTCCAACAAAGGCGACAGAGAAGAGAGAGGCCGGGAAAGAGAGTGGGAGCAGCAGAGTGGCAGAGAGAGGACGACCGAGAGAGAGAGAGAGAGAGCAGAGAGACTGGGGGGGGAGGGGGGAGGAGCAGACGAGAGCGCGCGCTCAGCATAAATTTAGGTGAGTTTATCTAATGAGTGATTTTTATGATGTTGTCTGGCTTCGGTTATTTTTTCTCTCTGTCTTCCGCTGCCCTTTCGGCTATTTAAACAGCCATATTGAAAATTACCGAAAGGCAGAAAACTACCGAAAGGCACCAAAAGTTCGGTCTGAAAATATACAAGCGGGAAGGTGGCAGAGATAATCAGTAAGAATAATGATATAAGTGGCGTAAAACGCTGATAAATACATTATAACCAAGCTAACTCTTCCAACAAAGGGCGACAAGAAGAGCAGAGGGGAGAGAGAGTGGCGAGACCAGAGATTGGGGGAGGAGAGAGAGAGCAGAAGAGAAGAGAGAGAAGAGAGAGAGATGGCGGGTGAGGGCGACGGATGAGAGACCGGCGGCGCGCTCAGCACTTAAATTGTGAGTTATTCTAATGATGTGATTTTTATGCATGTTTGCTCAGCTGCCGGCCTTTCGGTATTTATTTCTCTGCTTTCCGCTGCCTTTCGGTATTTTAGACAGCATATTGAAATTACCGAAAGGCAGGAAAAAACAACCAAAGGCTACAAAAAGTGGTGAAAAATATTAGCAAGGCAAAGCGGCAGCAGAAATCAGTAAAAATAGATATAGTTGCGTAAAGCGTGATTTAATACATCTACAGCTAGACTCTTCCTAACAAACGGCCGACAGAGAAAGAGAGACGGACGAGACGCTGACGAGAATGGGAGAGAGAGGAGTGGCAAGCAGAGAGCATGAGAGAGAGGGGGGGGGAGGGAGGAAGAGAGAGGAGGACAGAAGCCGCTCGGCCACTAAAGTGTTGGAGTTATCTAATTGAGTGATTTTTACGATGTGTCAGTGGCATTTCGGTATTTTTTTTCTCCTGCCTGACCGCCCTGCTTTCGGTACTTTAGACAGCCCATATTGAAAATGACGAAAGGCAGGACAAACACTACCGAAAGGGGCACCAAAAAGTCGTGTGAAAATATACAAGGGCAAGGTGCAGAGAAATCAGTAAGAATAAGATATAGTGCGTAAAACTGTGATTAAATACATTACGCTAGACTCTTCCAAACAAAGCGCGACAGCAGAAAGAGAGAGGGTCGATTATGCGCGAGAGTGCCGGCAGAGAGAGTGGTGGCAGATGATCGAGAGCAGAGGAGAGAGAGAGAGCTAGGGGGGGGGGAGGGCGGGGCGGAGGGCGGGGGAGGGAGGGACGAGAGAGAGCGCGCGCCTCAGCCACTTAAATTGGGAGTTATCTAATGAGTGCATTTTTATGATGTTCGTCAGTGGCCTTTCGGTATTTTTTCTCTTGTCTTTCGCTGCCTTTCGGTATTTAGACAGCATATTGAAATTTACGAAAGGCAGAAAAAAACAAATCCGAAAAGGCTACAAAAGTTGCGTGAAAATATACAAGGCCAAGGTGCCCAGAGAAATCAGCTAAATAACCAGGAAAAATAAGAGATAGTTGCCTGCTAAAGCCGTGATAAATACCATATACAGCTAGACTCTTCCAACAAGGCCCGACAGAGAACGAGTAGCAGTGAGTGCGAGAGAATGGGAGCAGAAGATCTGGGGAGAGAGAGAGAAAGAGAAGGGGGGGAGGGAGGCGAGAGATAGAGAGCGCGCGCTCGGCACTACAATTTGTGAGTTATCTAATGCCAGTGATTTTTACGAATGTTGCTCAGTTGGCCTTTCCGGTATTTTTCTTCTGCCTGTCCGCTGCCTTTCGTATTTAGACAGCATATTTGAAATTACGAAAGGCCCACCAAAAACCGTGGTGGAAAATATACACAGGCGTAAGGCTGCAGTAGAAATCCATTAAGAATAAGATATAAGCTTGCGTTAAAACGTGATACAATACATTACAGCGAGACTCTTCAACAAAGGCGACAGAGAAAGAGAGATGCGGGAGAGAGAGTGGGAGAAGCAGAGTGGGGAGAGGAGAGAGCAGGCAGACCGACCTCGAGGAGAGAGGAGACGACACGGAGGAGAGAGATGAAGAGAGGGGAGAGGGGAGGGTTGGCGGGCGGGCGACGGGGGGAAGGGAGGGGGGTAGGCGCGGGGGCTGTGGGGGAGGGAGAGAGAGCGACTTCGCCGCCGCGTCAGCACTAAATTGTGGCAGTTATCTAATGGAGTGATTTTTATGATGTTGTCATGGCCCTTTTCGGTATTTTTTCTCCTGGCCTTTCCCCGCTGCCCCTTTCGCGTATTTAGCACAGCATATTGAAAATTACGAAAGGCAGACAAAACTACCGAAAGGCCACCAAAAAAGTGGTTTAAAATATACAAGGGAAGGTGCAGCAGAGAAATCAGTAAAAATAAGCATATAGTGCGTAAAGCGTGCAAAATACATTACAGCCCTAGACTCTTCCAACAAAGGCCCGACAGAGAAAGGAGAGGCTCGAGAGCGATAGAAGGGGAGAGAGAGAGCAGGGGGGACGGGGAGGGCCCAGGGAGCAGAGAGAGAGCTGCGCTTCGGCACTAATTTGCCTGAGTTAAAATCTAATGTCAGTGATTTTTATGATGCTTGTCAGTGGCCTTTACGGTATTTTTTCTCCTGCCCCTTCGCCTGCCTTTCGGTATTTTAGACAGCATATTGAAAAATTACTGAAAGGCCAGACAAAAACTACGAAAGGCCCACCAAAAAGTGGTGAAAATATACAAAGGGCAAGCGTGCAGAGAAGCAGTAAAAATAAGCATATAGTTGCCGTAAAGCGTGATAAAATAATTACATTTAGGACTCTTTCCAACAAAGGCGGACAGAGAAGAGAGAGCGGGGAGCGACCGAAGAACGGAGAAGTGAGTGGTAAGAAAGAGGGCGGGAGGGGTGAGGCCGCACGGAGAGGAGAGAGCGCCACGCCTCCCAGCCCACTAAATGCGAGTTCATCTAATGCAGGTGAATTTTACGATCGTTGTCAGTGGCCCTTTCGCGTATTTCTTCTCCTGCTTTCGCGTAGTTTTAGACAGCATATTTGAAATTACCCGAAAGCCCCAGAAAAAAACTTGCGAAAGCGCACCAAAAAGTGCGTGAAAATATACCAAGGGAACTGCAGAGAAATCAGGTAGAATATAGATATAGTGCGTAAAACGTGATACATATACATATTACAGCCTAGCACTGCTTCCAACAGAAGCGCACAAAAAGAGGAGAGGACGGCCGAGCGAGAGAATGGACCGAGAAAAGTAGTGGTGTCGTGTGTGAGAAAGAGAGAAGCGAGAGCAGAGCAGACGCAGCAGACGAGATGAGAGAGAGGATGACGAGGAGAAGAGAGCAGAGAGAGAGACGGAGACCGATAGAGAGATCGAGCATGGCAAGCGCAGTAGCAGAGAGAGAGAGAGAGAGAGATGACTGACGAGGCTGCGCGCGCAGCACTAAATTGTGCAGTCATTATATAGACTGGAGATGACGCCAAACTGCACTGCCATCAAGCTTGTGCAGATATCAATCGGTCGCCGATAGAACTCCGCACTATCATCAGCTTTTCAGCCTACCTGCCATATTGAACACGCGTGGACCGTCAGCTTGGCCAATCTAGGTATCATGAAGATTGGCCATGTTGAGTGTCTAACAATCAAACTTCAAGCTCAAGCGTTATTATAGTCTTCATAAGATTTAGATATGTGAATGCAGAGTTCAGTCTAATTTTATCGATGCATGACGTAAGCATGCAGATGTTATCGTGTATTACAACATAATCCTCCCTCACACCGCTATGTGTTTGCACGCGGTAGAGCTGCAGTCAAAACCAGTAGCTAGCTGCTGTCACGCGCGTGCATACCGATATTTGCCGTTACTCGCAGATTATTAGGGAGAGTAGGCGCGATGCGACCGGAACCGCGTCATAATGATGGCAGGCGACTACGTGAAGTACACGCGGGGAGAGGAACACACATAACTAGAATTTATTAACTGTCGTTTGCACTGCGACGATTAAACTCAGAGCAGGAGAGCATTGTCTGTAAATAATTTTCTACTCATTATCTTGCATTTCGGTGAGCTTTTTTAGCCTTATTGTGGCATTCAGTGTTCTTTATTGATGCATTTGGAATTGATTTCGGTGTTACTTAGTGTTTTTCGGTGTGTGTTAAGAGGCATTTCGGAATTTTTTACCCTGCCTTTTGCGCCTTTTAGTGTTTAGACAGCAAATTACCAAAAGGCACAGAAACGCAGAAAAATCTACCGAAAGTGATTGAAAGACAATGAAAAATTCAAGGAAATATACGGAGAAATCAGTAAAAATAACATAATATAGTTTCTATACGTAAATCGTGGTAAATACATTAAAAACGCATTATTTTATTGAAAATCCCCATATTTACTTATAAAACATCCAAGAGATGGCGCTGTGGCATGTAAACATTGGCTGCAATTAATTATTTGTGTACCTCATTTCGGGCCGAGTTCAGTCATTTTTAGGGCATTTCGGTGGAATTTTTTTTGACATTTCAGCTCCGGACTGCTTCTTCCAGGGGAATTCGATGTTCTCATAGCGCCTTTCGGTGATTTTTAGGTGCCTTCCGGTGCCTTCCGGTGCCTTACGGTGCCTTACGGTGTCTTTCGTGCCTTTTGGTGCCTTTTGGTGTGCCTTTCGGTATGCCTTTCGGTGCCTTCCGGTGCCTTCCGGTGCCTTTCGGTGCCTTTCGGTGCCTTCCGGTGCCTTCCGGTGCCTTTCGGTGCCTTTCGGTAATTAGACGGACCCTATCATGTTAGCTCTAGTAACTATACTAGCCCGCGTACAGGCTGCCGCAGCCTGCGGCAACTGTACGCGGGCTATAGTTACTAGAGCTAGTATCATGTATGCCCGCGTGTATGTTGCAATTTGTGTATATTGACTTGACGTTAGTCTCGCGGCTAGCCGGACTAGCCTAGATTATAAATAGGCCAATTGATAACACCGTATTAGTTTGCATATGAATTAACCACTGGCATTGCCACACATCTTTAACTGCGGAGTTTCCTGGTCAAGCCTTGTCCCTTGACTCAAGGTACTAGTTTAGGTACATCACACAAGCACTTGGAACGTCTCAATAAAACAAAGGTAAATAAACACGAAATGTGTTTACTACCAAAGTCTTAATGTTTCTCTACTCTATTTCGCCTATAATGACCTGTAAATGCCGGTCAAATGCTCATCTGCAACACACAAGTACACCGCACGCTAGCTGCTGGACACTGCAGTGTGCAGCAACTAGCGTGCGGCGGCCAGCGTGTGACAGTGTGTTGCAGATGAGCATTTGGACGGCATTTACAGAAAATTGTCGGCAATAATAGGTGAAAGAGAGTAGAGAAACATTAAGACTTTGGTAGTAAATAGATTTCGTATTTATTTAGCATTATAATATATTTTATTGAAACGCTCCAAGTGCCTGTGGTACATCATGCCCTGCTGACGATACATAATTATTTATATAATATATACATTAATCATATCGTTACTCATTCCACGTCGTTGTACCACGCATGGTTCAGCATGGCTTCCACGTCACCGAAGACGACTACAGCGATCCTGCAGAGACTGCGCTTTTTCATGCGCAACTCGGAGGTGGTGAAGCAGCCGCTGCAGGCTTACATCGTGCCGTCGGGCGACGCGCACCAGTCGGAGTACATTGCGCCGTGTGATTGCCGTCGGCAGTATGTGTCAGGCTTCACGGGATCCGCCGGTAATGATAGAGCTCTATATCTGTGTAGCTCTACGCTCCCTCGTAGGCCTAGCTTTTCCTATGTAGCTATTTGCTATGTCACAGGTCTACAGACGTCCCAAGTGTCCCGGTCTCACCGGGATCGTCCCGGTGCGACATACTGGTCCCGGTGCCCCGTTAGGAGTCCAGAAAGTCCCGGTCATAACATTTTTCAGCCATATTTCAGGGTGCGAAATTAACGGAGTCCGGAGTCAAATACTCCCTGATTTACTGGCGGACTCCCTGATTTGACATATGCAGGAGTCCGTGTGACTCCCTGAAAATTCTGCCATACTAACTATAGTTCGTTCCAGAGCACGGCCTCGCGGAATTACCGTATTTTTCAGCTAATGTCCAAAGAAAATTTGGCAGACGTGCAACCGCATGAATCTTAAAAATAAATCTTTAATTTTGAACTTCAGACTGCAGACTCCCTCATTTTGCTGCAGACTCCCTCTTTTTGAGGGTAGGGAGGTTGGACTCCCGTGTTCAAAAGTTAATTTCTACCCCTGATATTTTAAAATTTACATCAGTAAATTACTAAATTTCCCGTGGTTGTTGATGTACTTTGATTCCAGCAAACAATAAAAGGCCACAAATGTCAAACACTTTTGTTTTCACAATAAATTTGCATTTTATTTTACATGTATACTTTATAAAAAATGGTGGTGCGCCGCGACAAACACGTCGCAGCCCGCCACAACTTTTTTCCTGTTTTTGCGCACCGCGAAAAAACGGCGATGGTCCATTATCACAAGTGATCCCTTTCTTGGATTTCCCAAGCTACTATCCAACCTGCCTGCTGGCCTGTCTGCCTTCCTGCCCACCCGTTTGCCTGTGTGCCTGCCTTTCTGCCTGCCCGTTTGTCTACCCAGCCTGTCTCTGCCTTTGTATCTGTATCTATCTACCTCTCGCTGTGATCACATGTCTATCTGCCTGTCTCCCTGCCAGCCTGCCTACTACCAGTCTGGCGTACTTACGGTTCTATTGCTTTCTCATCTATTATCTGTCAGTCTACTAATACATGTTTTTTTATCTATCAGTTAGTCTTACTCTCCATTATTCCATTCATCTATCTATTTTGCCATCTTATCTATCAGTTCATCTATCTATCAATCTATTTATCTGTCTGGCTGTCCGTCATTCCTTTCGTCCGTCAGTCCGTCTGTCCGTACGTGCATGCGTGTGTGTGTCCGTGCATGTCTGTCTGTCTGCCTGTCTGTCTATCTCTCTATTTATCTGTGTAGTTATAAATTTATCTCTTCCTGTCCAATTTCAGTGGGGTTTATTTGATAAAGACTTTGTCATTTATAACACAGGGGTTTAGATTGCATGTTGGAACAGTCCTTTTTTCATCTGCCTATCTGTCACATCTACCAGTTTTGGCTTTCCTCAACCCATTTCTCATTGTGCCCAAATTTGTGTGATGGTTTGGCTTTTCTCGTAGTGTTGCTGGCACGAAATGCCCATAACTGCCTCAAAATTTTTCCATATGTGAACGATATGTAACCATATAATAAGTGGTTCTGGATCTGGGTCTAGGCACGGCTATAGTAACAGAACAGTGTGCTGCCCTGTGGACTGACGGACGATACCACCTACAGGCAGAAGAGCAACTGGACAGCAATTGGACGCTAATGAAAGAAGGTATATATGGCTTAATAGGAGTCACCGTCAAATGTTATATTTTTGTTTGCGTGATTGGCTTACTCGTTATGGCTATAACGTGTACCGGAGAGAATGGGTTTATCATTTAAAACGTGCTGCGTTTTTTCCAAATGTAAAATTTTACCTCTTATGTAAAATAGCTCTTAAATATAGAATACCCTTTGGTATAGAAAAGTGTGAAATGGTTCTAAATCGGTGGTTGTTTCATGTTAAGGCGTGGCTGCTACTCCGACGCAGGCCGACTGGTTGTCGAAGTCTCTGCCAGAAGGGGCTCGGATAGGAGTCGATCCATTTCTCCTCTCTGTCGGTAGGTTCCAAAGTCCCTGTGTCCTCGTGTAGTGCACACCTATGTGACACGCTGCACGTATAGTAGCAGCCCAGTCTAATTACCTACTGAATGAGTCCAACCGTGTGGTGCCCCTGTGCACCATATTCACAGTATCTTATTTCACGTTATAACATGGTTCGCACAGTCCTTGAAAAGTCCTTGAATTTGAGGGGAGTCCTTGAAAAGTCCTTGAATTTGAGGGGAGTCCTTGAAAAGTACTTGAATTTAGTAAATGTTGATTTTGTACTTGAAAAGTGCTTGAATTTCATGAAAAAGTTCTTGAATTTTATGAAAATGTCCTTGAATTTTTAGAAAGAATCCTTGCCTGTAATAAAAAGAAATGTTGTACCATCAATAATGAGCAAACCTCAATAAAAATTGCATTAAATGAGCTTAAAAAGCTATAGACACGATAGACAGTTAAATGATGATCACAAATTACAGTAAGTCAGTAAAATCAGTCAGTAAATCAAGGTATGTTGTAGAAGTGACAGTGTTTAGAAGGGTTTATTAATGTGATCCAGGTAAGTTTTAGAGGTGACATGCAATGATTAAGAATGTGGTTATTAAATTAATCCAGGTATGTTTTGTTCTGTGTATGAATTCCGGTAAAATGTCTGATAAAATGTCCTTGAATTTCCGATAAAATGTCCTTGAATTTCCGATAAAATGTCCTTGAATTTCCGATAAAATGTCCTTGAAAAGTCCTTGAAAAGTCCTTGGAAAAAATTTCAGTCCTGTATGAACCATGTATAAGTTCTGAATGTATATGCAGTTATAAAGTTGTAACGTTTTTATTTGCTTACGATGTAGCCGTTAAGTGTACTGATTCGTGAGATCTATTGTTTAGCTTGTACACTGTATATTGTCTCTATATCTCTACTGTCACCAACCTTTACAGCACCCCACCCCGTACCCTCACCGCAGCCCACTCTATACAACCCCCACCCTTAACCCACTCATTCTATACTACCCCCTACTGTTACTTCACTTCCACTCTATACAACTCCTTACCCGCACCTCACCCCACTTTATACAACCCCCTAACATCACCTCACTCCCATTTTATATAACCCCTACTCTCATCTCCTCTATATACAATACTCTACCCTTACATCACCCCACCCTATACCACTCTTTACCATTACCTCACTTTCACTCTATACAACCCCCTACCCTCACCTCACCCCACTCTATAAACCCCCTACCATTACCTCACTCCCATTTTATATAACCTCTACTCTCATCCCCCCCATATACAATACCCTACCCTTACATCACCCACCCTATACCACCCCCTACCCTTACCTCACTTTCACTCTAAACAACCCCCTACCCTCACCTCACCCCACTCTATACAACCCCCTACCCTCACCTCATCCCACTCTATACAACCCCCTACCTTCACCTCACCCCACTCTATACAACCCCCTACCCTCACCTCACCCCACTCTATACAACACCCTACCCTCACCTCACCCCACTCTATACAACACCCTACCCCTTACCCTCATCTACCCTCCTTACCCCATGTATACCCCAACCTTACCACACCACAACACTTACCCCGCGGTAATCTTCCCATCCGCTTGCTATCGGAGATCTAACACTCATATCTAACACTCGCTCTTCTCTACGCACCTTTCCCCGACGCTGCGTCGGCACGCGCAGACGTGTGGCGCCCTCTGTCGGAGAAGCTGAAGCAGAGCGGGCGCGAGCTGGTGCCGATAAATCAAAACCTCATCGACCTGGTGTGGGACGATCGCCCGGCATCGCCTAGCAACCACATCGACATACAGCCACTACAGTTTGCAGGTACGCTACCTTTCGTCGTCCGTTCACAGCCGCAGTACTGCATAAATGTTGCCCCAGCGCCCCCTTACAGCTGTAGGAACACTCCCCCAGCGCTCCCTCACATCTGTAGGAACACTCCCCTAGCGCCCCCTCACAGCTGTAGGTACACTCCCCCAGCACCCCCTCACAGCTGTAGGAACGCTACCCCAGCGCCCCCTCACAGCTGTAGGAACACTCCCCCGGTGCCCCCTCACAGCTGTAGGTACACTCCCCCGGCGCCCCCTCACAGCTGTAGGAACACTCCTCTGGCGCCCCCTCACAGCTGTAGGAACACTCCCCCGGCGCCCCCTCACAGCTGTAGGAACACTCCCCCAGCGCCCCCTCACAGCTGTAGGAACACTCCCCCGGCGCCCCCTCACAGCTGTAGGAACACTCCCCCAGCGCCCCCTCACAGCTGTAGGAATACTCCCCCGGCGCCCCCTCACAGCTGTAGGTACACTCCCCCAGCGCCCCCTCACAGCTGTAGAAACACTCCCCGAGCACCCACTCACAGCTGTAGGTACACTCCCCCAGCACCCCCTCACGGCTGTAGGAACACTCCCCCGGCGCCCCCTCACAGCTGTAGGTACACTCCCCCAGCGCCCCCTCACAGCTGTAGGAACACTCCCCCGGCGCCCCCTCACAGCTGTAGGTACACTCCCCCAGCGCCCCCTCACAGCTGTAGGAACACTCCCCCGGCGCCCCCTCACAGCTGTAGGTACACTCCCCCAGCGCCCCCTCACAGCTGTAGGAACACTCCCCCGGCGCCCCCTCACAGCTGTA